GCAAAATTCCGTACCTCCACGTAGTGTCATAAGCCTTCTCGAGATCGAAGAACACAGAAACAAGGTGTTCTCTCTTGAGAAAGGCTTCCCTGATCGACGTTTCTAGTCGAATCAGATGGTCCATGGTGGATCGCTGTCGACGGAACCCACACTGGGTGGGCAAGAGGAGCATGTTTGATTCCAGGAACCAAACAAAACGATCATTAATCATCCTTTCTAGAACCTTACAAAGACAACTAGTCAAAGCAATGGGACGATAATTAGAAGGAATCTTGGGATCCTTCCCAGGTTTAGAGAAAGGGAGGACAATAGCCTGGCGCCAAGCATCTGGAAAAATATGCTCCTGCCAGATCCAGTTAAAAATAACCAGAAGAATGGCAAGAGAGGCAGGAGAGAGATGGTGCAGCATCTCATAATGAACATCATCAGGTCTGACCGATGTACTTCCAGATCGATGAAGATGAGTTCCACCACTGTAAAGGGGGCAATTATAATCATAGAGACGATCGACCTGAAAGGAAAGAGGCGATCGCTCTGCCCAAGAGTTTATGGCCAAGAAGGCAGGGGAAGAAACAGAAGTGCTAGAAGCACGAGAAAAGCTCTGGCTGAGAGCATCAGCAATGCTCTGGACATCAGCAACTTCCTGGCCACTGGAGAGCAAGATGGAAAGGGGATGGGAAGCATACCTCCCAGTGACTTTCCGAATCTTGTCCCGTACAGTTTTGGAACTGGTGGTTGAAGAGATGCTAGTAGTGAACTTTATCCAAGACTCCTTTTGGCTTTGACGTCGAACCTGCCGAGCATGGGCCCGCTGATAAATAATGGGGTTAGAAAGAGTGGGATACCATCGAAAGATATCCCAGGCTCGTTTTTGAGCCTTCCGTGCCTTCTGGCAGGCAGGACTCTACCATGGACGAGGATACCGTGGAAAACGTGTCGAGGTCTTTGGAATAGAATAAACAGCCACCTGGACAATACAGTCAGTCACTGCCACCACAAAGTCGTCTATTGATGGTAGACAGACAAAGGCAGGATCAAGTTCAGAGAGAGAGGTGAAAGATGGCCAGACAGCCTGGTCCAGCTTCCACTGTGGCACTCGGGTCGGGTGGCGTCGACCATGACCAGCCTCTCTCAGTATGATGGGAAAATTATCACTGTCGACCATCCAAGAAAAGTGAGTGAAATATGAAGGGGAGTAAATCGAGAGATCAATGGCAGTAAAAGACTGACTAGGTGCATGAAAATAAGTGTATGTTCCAGTACTAAAGAGAGAAAGGTTGTGATCCGAGAGCATGTGCTCTATGGAACGACCCCTCCCATCAATATCAGCACCACCCCAGAGGGGGTTGTGCGCATTTAAGTCTCCCAAAGTAAAAAGGGAGGTGGCAACTGGTCAACGAGAGCATCAAGGTCTGAGTGATCATAAGTCTCTCCAGGAGACAGGTAGAGAGAACAAACAGTGATGGAACAACCCAAGGAAACATGTATGGCTATGGCCTCCAAGGGTGTATCGAGGGACACAGATAAGGAAGGCACATGCTGGTCGACCAGCAGTGCCAACTCTCTGTGTACCCACCCATCACACAACCTATCATTTCGGTACAAGGAAAACTGCCAAAGGGTGACTGTATTGGCAGGTTTCAGAAATGTTTCCTGTAAGGAGAGACACGCAGGATGATAGGAGTCAATCAAGGCCTTAATGTCATCGAGATTAGAACGAAAACCTCGACAGTTACACTGTATCAAAGTGGCCATTTTTATGTATGTTTAGGAGAAGAGGGTGGAGAACCCTTCGGTTTACGACCGCGCCGTTTTTCTTTACTAGATGGAGGTCGACCGACCTACATGGATTGTGCCCTTAAACGAGTGGGCAGATCTCTGTCATCAGAGTGAGAATCCAATGACTGAGGACGTGATCGAATAATCATCCTGCATTTAGGGGCCAAAGAAGGACCCGCACGGACACCAGAGGCTGGTGCTCGAGGTGGTTGACCCAGGCAGTCACTGGAAGGAACAGTGGGGACAGAGATTGGAGTAGATGTAGATTGATCAACTCTATTATCCATGGAGGGCAGAAGACCCCGCACATGGCGTGAAAAAAAGACTCAGATGGAGGCACAGAAAGGTCCGTCTGCACTCCCACTGTAGTAGTGGAGCATAGTGCAGAGGCATATGTCCGAGATGTAGGAGGGAACAATAGCTTCTGAGCCTCAGGATAAGAGATGTTATTAAGAGTCTTCAAATGCTGTACATCTTTCTCCTCCACCCACTTAGGCAAGACCTAAAGTAGGAGAG